CCCCCTTTCCCCCCCCCCCCCAAAAATAACTAAGCGATTGGCTAAAATTGCTGAATTGTACTGTTAATATTATTTTACTGGATGAGTCGGGGTAATTAAGAAATATCCAGATGTGTCTTGACTTTGAGGAATGGCAGATGAGTTTGGGAATTGGATGTCTAGACAAAGAGCTAGTTTTAAGAAGCTTGCACGTCTCAAACTTGCAAGAGAAGCATAAGGAGTTAAAATTTCTCACTAGCAGTGCTGTTTTGTATTTATTTTTAAATTAGCATTGGTACTGGGTCCTGATGGACATGGGTGATCAATAAGAGATTAATTACTACTTATCTTTATTAGTCAAAATATTATCTTGTTGCAAGCTGGCAGAAGACCAAGAAGACTTGATGTACACATTTTCTTTGCCTTTATTCTGAAGGAACTACCTCTCCTGTTGAGCTTCATTGGTGCGGATCTTAATTTGCTCAGTCTGAGGTGACATTGCTGTTTTGCATTATTCTGCCACTTGAGGTCTTTTTTAGAAAAATTACAAGCGCATTGTGATGATTTTAAAGCGGCAAACCCCTTCAAAAATATCTAAATGCTATTAGAAAAGATGCCACCAGGTGGTGCTAAATCTCCATATAGTGCTAACTGATGTTCTGAGTAATAAAGCATGTATCCATGTGACTGGAGTATTAATGATATTAATTAATTCCAAAAAAGGGAAGGCTGGATTTCACTGCTGGTGTCTACCAAAATCATCTGCAGTTTCAGGTCAATGGTCTCTTGCAATAAAAAGGGACATTTCTATTCTGTTTTAATGTATGAATGTCTATATAAATTGGCTACTTTTAGTATTCTCCTTTTAGAAAGCACAATAATGACCATCCTAGCAGCATAGGAGGCTACACATGATGTTTACATACCACTTTTTTTTTTCCATTGGATTACACAGCACATTTTTCTTAGACCCTGGTGTGCAATTGCTGAGGAAAGTTCCCTTGCCTTTTCTTAAATACTTGAACTTTCCTCCACTGGCACTTCTACTATCCACTCACTCCTGGAATAAAAAAAAAAAAAGAAGTGTGTGTGCCCTACCCCCACCCCCTCCAAACTAATATTCACTGGCTATCCCTTATTTAAAATCAGAAGAAAAATGGAGACAAGGCACTCTAGTTCCACTGTGCAATAAACTAGTCATATGATGATGTCTCCTTGCTGGTTTGCACCAAACATTGTAAGTGCTTTGTCTCTACTTAGGACTTTTCAGCTGGTTATTTTTGCTTCCTTCTGCCCCCCAGTAATGAGAAGACAAATCCTTTGTTTTCAGGTTTGGTTTTGGGTGGGATAGGCAAAAACTGAGGGAGATGAACACTTCCTTTTTTTTTTAAAGGAAAAACAAAATTACAACTGAAATAAAATCTACATTTCTAAGGAATTGTTTGTGAATGTGTGACCTAGTTTTTGGAGAGCAGATGTTTAGGATGAGTAAAGTTGCATTTGTACCTAGTTTTGCACAGGGTCGAGCACTTGCCCCTCATTACTGCTCTAGCCTTCCTTGGTATAAATGAGAATTAATGTTTCTTTTCAAAGCAGTGTACAGAGGTATTGTGAGGGACTCTCACTGTTCTCACAACTGTTCCACACAGGGCAATGAATATCCCTGGAAATGGTAATTCAGGTACCTTCTTTTCACAAACTGTGATCTTAAAGGAGAAGGAATGACCTGTCAAATAGTCCCAGAAAGGAGTGAGTACAGTTTGGGGGTTTCCAACCTGTCTTAACATTGCATACCTGAAATCCAGCCCAAGTGCCTGAAGAAGCAAGTCTGTACTACACTGGGTAGTTGCACTCAATCATCCTTCATTTTTATTTTTCAGAAAGCAACGGAGTGAAGAAAGAGAGTGGGTTCATTTTAAGTAGCTTATTTTAAGATCTTCCCCTTTTTACGGTACCCTCTGTTTGATTTTTGCTGAAACCAGTTACTTCTATCCAACTCTATTCTGAAGGTCCAACCGGTCTAGTCGAATCTTGGCGATGCTGTAGCAGCGGGCTGTGTTTTAGGGATCAAGCTCGAAGTGCTGCTTTACAGGTGGTCACTGGGAAGGGGTTGCAAATGGGCTTACCACCCAATGCATTTGTCCCTCAAGCAACGCATCCCCTGTGTTGCCTTCTACCTCAGAGGTGGGAGAGGCTACTTAAACCAGGGGGCGGGAAAAGATGGTGTGCAACAGATTGGCTGGGTTTGGTGTGGGAAGGAGTGTATATGGCCAACATGGTTGGGAGTTGTGCTCTTCTCACAGGAGTGTCGCGCTACCCTCACAACAGGTAGGAGGCTCTGAGGAGATGAAAGGAGCCCAGGCAGGCCCCGCCCACTAGAGCCAGAGGGGCTGAGAGGGGTTCTAATGGGCCGCAAGGCTGTCACTCAGGCCATTGGCGGGAAAGTGGTTCCCTCAGCTAACATCCCATTGGCTGACGGAGTCAGGTGACTATTCAGACCAATGGTGCCTCGAGTTCTGTTCCTGTTAGGAGAACAAGACAGCCTGAGGGGGGCAAACATGGGCTGGGTGGGGGAGAATAACCCCTGAGGTGTGTTAAACTGATTTAGAGGTATAGGTCGTAGCCATGCTGGTCTCAGGACATAGGCTGACAAGGTTCTTTGGGTGAATCAGATATCTTTTATTAGAACAACTTAAATAGTTGGGAAAAAAAATAAGTTTCCATCTCAAATAGCTAAATTCAATATCTTCCATGTTACAGGAGGGTAGGTTTCCTTTTAGCTTAAGGAGGTAGAGGGGCCTCCACTTTGAAGCATGCAAGGAGTGGGGAGCCATGGGGTGCTGTGTAAAAGGGGCCAGCAAGGAAGAGCGGGGCAGCCTGAGGGGCCAGTGAGGAAGGTCCGGGCCGTGCCATGACGACCAGAGATAAAGTTGGAGGTCTCTATCGGGAAGCCTTTGCCAGGGAACTCACTGCAGGGCAGGCAGGACTGGCAGGGTTGTCAGCGTGATGAGGAGGAAGAGCAGTGAGCGACATCTGGTGAGAAGTCTGAGGTATTTTTTCTGGCCCTGTCTCGTTGATGTTGGTCTTTCAATCCCAGGGCAGCTCTTCAGGAGTGAGGGGGAGGAGGGGTGGAAGTCAGCACATTACCATTATTTATGAAATCCCGCAAGAAAAATCTACAAGGTAACATGTTTTGCTTTGGTTTTTCTTCCCCTAGGTACAGATGGATGGGCAGTAAGATGCACAGGACCATCCTCTGAAAAGGTAAATGTGAACTCAAAGCTCATGCCCCTTGCAATTGTTCTGTTCCCCCCTCACTTGAAAATGTGAAAATAGGTACTGCCTGGCCTCTCTCCTGCTAATGAGGAACCGGGATCTCCATCTTGTTCAAATTGGATTGCTTGCAAACATAGGAAAGATCTTTGTTTTTAATGGCTGCATTGGCTCCTGGGGCAAACCATCATCATTAGTGCCTTCACACACAGACTTGCAGGCATTTCAAAATGTTTGGGGTTTTTGGTTTGTTTGTTTGTTTTTGAGAGGCTCCTGGAAATTATTGGTGAGACTGCTCAGAGCCAGTCCTCATTGGAGCATGGAAGACATGAGCATTAAATGATTAAATAAATGAAGTACTATGCTGCCGTGAGCGATGCAGCACCCTGGTAAATACCTCCTATTCCAAGTATTTACTGACAGGGCAGATAAAGGTGTATGTTTATAGTGGATGTCTGCAAACTTCCTTCCAAGAATACCTACTACATATCCTATGTGCCAGGGGCCTATAACATGGAGCCCCCAGAACAAACCCTGGGGCTTAGCATGATTCTTTATTATATCATTTTGTTACATGGAAAAATAATTGAAAAGCAAAACAATTAATCCTGTCCTCACTGGGTGCATCTACACATGCAGTTAATGTGACATGATAAACTCCACAGCCATTTGTGCTGGAGTTAGCTGCTCCTGAGCACAGCGTCTACACAGGACAACAGCAATTTGAACCAGGGTGGCACAGGGCCCTGGCTGGCTGGGCTGACTGGGCACAATTAACATGCCCAGTCAGTGTCTACACATTTCAGTGCAGTAAAGTACTCTGCTGTAAGATAGTACTGTCCCTGACAGACGGTAAGTAGCTTACTGCGTTCTAATATTGAAGCACATGTAGACTGAAACTTTACTGCAGAGCTAATTAGTCAACTGCAGTAAAGATGTACCCACTGAGTGGCCACTTTTTTCTGTATGTGTAATTTGCTTTCCAGCTTACAAATACACTGAGAGCTTACTTCTTATGAGAGCTATTCCCACTAGTAGTGGCCCTCCATTGAAAAGTGTATCTTTTGCAAGAAGTCCTCAATAAACTTTTGAGTTATCCAGCTTTAGTTCATATCATATTCCATTGCTAGTCTTCAGTGCCTGGCTTTCTCTTTGAAAGATTGTCACAGTTACTAAGACTTATCAGTGTCTCTGGAACAGAAGGGCTTCCATATAGTTGTGGGGAGCCATGAAACATGGTTTGTAATGATTAAAAAGATCCACAAACAAGGAAATTTGCTTGAGCTGTGTGAAGGGCTTGATTTCCTACTGCTATGCACCTGGTGCAATGCATAAGATTCTTGAAGTGTGAGGAAATATTTACATTTCTAAAAAGTGATGTTAGTTAACATATCTTATTTCAAACTGTGTATATTATTAAGCCCTCTCTCTGTTCTAAACTACATTTGAGTGCTCAGCAGCCTCTGGCCACCTTGCATACTGAGGACTATAGATAGGAGGAGAAACTTCTATAAGGTTTGGTCACAAGTCAGTAGAACTTATGTTCCTAAATCTTAGAGCCATCTGAGTATTTCCCACAGGATTTAAATCTTAATCTGCATTCTAATGCTGTTCCTGACTCTATTACGTGGGGGAATCCTGAATATAGTAAATGTGTGTAGGGAGAATCTTCACACAGATTACATTTTTAGTGTACTTCAGTGCCAGTACTCTTATTTCATAACAGCCATGTCAAGTGAGTCTCAGCTAAAAAAATCCTAATATTCTAAACTGCATTTGAAGGTGCAGGCTTACACCATCCAACTATACTTTATAGGGGTATATTTATTCCTTAGGTTGTGTGTTTTATGTAATTATTAAAAAAAGTATTATGTTTTCAGGAAGGGAGGGAGGGGAAAGCCATTTGAACAGATTAGAAGAATTCCAGTTTAAAAAAATTTATTACAAGTAAAAAAAAAAATGTAAGTGTTTCATAAGTGAATGTATAGGTTAAATATAGTATCTAAAGACAATTTCTTAGCTGCTAGCTTTAGAAACCTACTGTTTTTCAGAGCAAATTACTCAATAACAGGTTTTTGCTTTGAAGCTATACATCATTTTACTTTCCTTGTAAACAGGTGAACATTAAAACTAGATGAATAAACACCTTTATAATACTGAAACTTAAAAAAAAACAAACCCCTTTTTTCTAAACACAAAAAGGGACTTTGAAATAGGGAAGGGAAAATGGGTCTTACACACTTGAAAGCAGGAACTTTGAACTGGCCTTGATTAAATATAAAATAAATCCTTTTAATAGCTCTCCAGATAATCAGTCACTTCTGGACAATACTTATACCTTATACTACAATATGTCAGTTACATTTTAGGCCTTATTTTGCTCCCATAGATTTAAGTAGTGTTAGAGATCTAGTAATTATAAACTAAGTTGACCATGGTCTAAAGTTAATTGGCAAGATATAGCAAGTCAGTGTTGAGTTCAGCACTAATACATCCATAAATACAGCTATCTAATATTTGATTTCACATTTTCTTCTGCCTCATCTGCACTATCATTAACTTGCTGGTCAACCAATTTATCAGATTCATCCTTCAATATCTCTACATCTGATCTGTGCTCGTCCTCCAGTGGCCACCTGGAATTCTTGTTTCTTATGGAGATTAGGAGGGGATGTTCTGTATCTGTATCATCATTAGGGATATTGTCCACACCAGCTTCAGCTAGACACTCATTACATAGCCTGTAGCGCCGTGTTCCTTGTTGAACCACACGTCCTGTTAAGTCAGTGACATGCTGCTTACACTTTCTGCAGATCAGTTTGCCAGCTCGATGTATCTAAAAAAAATTAAAATAGCAAAGCCATCTCAGTCCAAAAGCAGAATTAGAAGCTTTTTAGTGTCTAAGAAAGAAACATTTGAAATAAATAAATATTTTTTTCAGTTTAAAATACTGTTTCTAAATGTGAAAGTCAAGAAATTGTAAACAAGGGACTTCTACACAAAAGAGAAACGCTGGTCTACAGAGATTTGTTAAATAAATTTATTACAAGTACCATATATTTAACACCATTAAGTAGCTTTGTTTAATCTTCATCTTTTAGTTTCAGAACCCTCCTCAGTTATTCACAATTGAAAGCACTGCTGATGATAAGGAACATCTTTTACTTTTCCTTGCCAGAGGGATGCTGTAATAAAAGCCACACCTCTTTAGGACAGAATGGAATGCTTCTGTGCTACTCCCACCTGTCTATTCACCTAGAGACCATGACACTGATTAGCACGCTGAAACACAAGCCTGTGAACTCCTGGAACACGGACACAAACAACAGGATGCTAAGAAAGACATGGAGAAGCTGTACTATTCTTTATGTCCTTCATACTTCTCTACATCCAGGCTTCCAAACACAGGTGGATATAGAGCTAGCTTTTGCCATCACTTTTTTTTGTCTGTGGCTAATTTGTTCTCAACTTGCCTTAGTCTGTCGCTTAAGACCATTTTAAAGCCCTTATGACAACCTCAGTTGTCTTTTAAAATACTGTATTATCTTAATACCTTATTTTTAAATTGTGACTTCACATTTCAAAATAGTCTTCAGTGAAGACTAACTTTTTTATTTATGCACAGAACAGACAGTTCTGATGCAAGTTCTTTCAAAGCACAATGCTCCTCAACCTTTAACTTTAAAAGGGGAATTTGTCCTCTGGCATATGCAAAAAAAGGCTTTTGTGGTAGCCATTTTGGAACCAACATAGATTCCAATTTTAAGTAGCAATTCGATGGCTGGTTTTGCAAGAGATTTTTAGTCTGGTTCCTAATGGAGGAGACTATTAAATCATTTTATACTTCAGAATAGTGAAAAGTGAATCTTGGGATGGTCCTATATATATATATATATATATATATATAATACTACTTCCATCAACATCAACTTATTTTCTAAGAAAGCCACTCTATTCAAATGACATACTGTTTGGAAATGGCTACGGAGGTGCTCTAGTCTGGTGAACCTTTTCCCGCATGCCTCACATGGATAAGGTCGCTCCCCTGTGTGACATCGAAGATGACGTTTCAGGTCTGCTCTCCGTTTCACTGTATGTGTGCAGAAGGGGCACATGAATCTCATCCTAGGTAGATCTGTTACAGAGAAAACCCTATTAATATGAAAATATTAATAGTCCATTCCCTGTACAGACATTTTGTTGTTAAAATGTAAAGAAGCAGTTTGCTTGCTTAAATGCCTGAGATTATAAGAAAAGCTAAATCCAGAATACAACCACAAACTTCTTAACCATCTCCTATCACACAGATTTCCTGACTGAATGCATGAAATATGCATTTGGTAGTACTTTATTTCCTACCCAGATTGACTCCATGCTTTGTGATACATAAAGCACCTTACATTTATACATCATAGCCATACACTTACATATATGACCCTTTCTTCTGATAATACTTAGAATCCAGGTAGATATTTAATATATTAAAAAACCTACCTGTTCAAAAACTGAAGCAACTTACAATTTGGTTTTTTTGGGTGATAATGGTACTTCAGCCACATTGCCATACCCACTCCTGTAAGCTGACAGGCTGCCATCTATCCTGGTTGTCATGTAGGAAACACCCTCTGGCGATTCAGCAATAGTTATCTGACAGCATTTTTGGAGAAACCCAAAAGTATCTTTTGGACTAAAGAATCAGGGGAGCAAGGGCCAAAGCTTGGAGCCTTCACTTAGACAAGGTTCTTCAGCTGAATCTGATATCTTTTATTACATCAACTTATGTAGTTGGAAAAAAAAATTTAGCAAGCTTTCAGGTTTAAAAACCTTTCGTCAGGCTGAGGAAATTTCTGCAGTTGGTACGTGCTCTTTCTGGATGGAATGAATAATAAAGAAGCCTAGACCAACACAGCTACAACCTACACCCCTGCTATCTGGCATCACTCTTGTAACTATGAGGGATTTAGCTAGAAAAGGCATTTGAGCTAGAACTATGCCAGCATGGTAATAAAGAGTAAATTGCTAACACGGACGGTTTTCCAGAGCATTTTGGCGCCTAGTAGGGTACAGCCAACACCTTTGTCTCTGGGTAGAGACAAATGGGCAGCCAGTGTAGATCCTTGAGGACTGTTATAACCTGCCAAAAAATGGCATGCTCAAAATGCAAGCTGCTGCATTCTACACTGACTTCAGTCTTCAATTGGTTTTAAAAGGTAGATATTCCTCAGAGTACAATGTAATAAGCTATGCTCATTATCTCAAAACTAAACAGTTGCAGCTGGGTTTACATCCAAGAAAAAAGTCTGTAGTCTCCTAGTCATATGCAGGTGGCAAAAAGCTCACTGGATTACTATGTAATGATAGGAAAACAGCAGCTAGGAGTCAAAAACAAAAGTCACCATTAAGTTGTAAATGCTTACAACTTTTGGCAAATTAACTTCTTCAAAGAGACTGGTATAACTTCTATCCTGTTCAGCTGTTTCCCTGGTGTATGGGTTATGTTTCAGTCAATTCATGTCCCAATCTCAGTTAAATACTGAAGTGATGAGCTGCATCATCCAGATCAAACAGAACAATACGTTGCTGGGTGTCATCAATACACTGCTGAAATACTGCATACCTACTCTCAACATTATCATACACACATTGAATAGTGGCTTCCCATATTCAGGAACTCTTCAAAAAATCTTAATAACTGCCCATAATTGTTTTTTAAGATTGAAGAGAGGGAGAGAGAGAGAAGGAAAAAAACTCCATTGAAGAACAGCATCATTCACTTCTGTGAACATTCTAAAGCGAACCAACAATATCTTGTACAAACTGTACTGACAGCCTCCTATAGGTCCAGTACCATTAGAATAGTTGCCTAGTTTACATCTGTTGCCACAATAACAGTGGATGTAATTTTTTAAAGTTTGGGTCTTCAAATATTTTCTTCACCAGGTATCTGGGAGTGAGGCTAATGGAGTTTGTTTCATA